GGTAAATTGGAAGTTATCTGAGAGAGTCTGAACACAGACATTGAAATTACAGGGTGAAATGGTTGCAGGGATAAAACCTGCATCATTGTTCTGTTAACAAGTCTGCTACTAATGTATATTATGTTATGAAACTTTACTTTAGACTGTGTGATACGTTAGTGGGGCCTGATCCTGCACTTTGTACACTGGCAATATTGTGTCATGAGTGGATCTGTCCAGATACGGACATCAAGCTTGGATTCAAAATTTTTAAAGCTGTAAAGTGACTGATTTTTAACTTTCAAGTCCTGGTGCATTTATAGGTAAATATCCAGGTTTAAAATGAAAAAGATCAAATTTATGTTTAAAACTGAGATCTGTAGAGACTGAAATATTCAAATCACAATCGCAAATGAAAAATGCAGAGGAACCCCTTTTGAATTTGCTGCATGTACTATTTCAATAATACCAAAAAGTGAAAAAAATCACCAGCGTGGGTGGTGTCACCTCCTACTCTTTCTGGGGGCGGACACCAAAACGGTGATGCAAGTGTTTGACATTTATCGGTACAGTGTGGTCACTGGGTTTTTTTCCTTTTTCTTTTTCTTTCTTTGGGGAGGGGGGTGGGGTGGTCCAAATTTCAACCTTCACTCTTGATATCCAATGTTTCAACCTTCACTCTTGTTATCCCTAGTACTAAGGTGTAAATGACATTTGTAGGTGGCTTTTGAAGGGCTGGTAAACTGGAAGAATTATGGTTTCCTGATAGTGCAGGCTTGGTTTGTGATTCTTTGAATGACTAAATGAGATCATAAAATCATTCTCTAGCTAACAGTAGGTTTGGAAGAGAGAGAGGATTCTGTTGATAATATTCTCTTTTAAAGTATAGAATTAAAGTCACAATATATGAGGTAAACAACGCGTAGTTCTATAGCACCTTAGAGACTAACAAAAAAAATAGTACTGTATCATGAGCTTTTGTGGGCAAAACCCACTTCTTCAGATCTGGGTTTTACCAATGAAAGCTCATGATACTATATCTATATCTCTCTCTATATATATCTTTATCTAAGGTGCTACAGGACTACTCTCTCTATATATCTTTATCTAAGGTGCTACAGGACTACTTGTTTTTTTAAAGTTAAAGACTAACACACAGCTACCCCTCTGAGACATTTAATAAATGAGGTATTTAGTAGACTATGTTCTGATTTGAGATTTTTAAAATTAACATGCCGTAGTAGGCTGGAGAAAGCTGAAATGCTAGGCATGGGTTATATAATGTTTCAGTTTACAGTGGGGAAAAGAACATGCACAAAATTCCCTAAAGGAAGTGTACTTGTAATGTCACCTGAATATGCTACCAGTAGCTGCTATTCTTAGATACAGACCTGACACACATCAGCAGAAATGGATCATCTTTTTTCAATTAAAATGTGGTTCCCAATAATTGTAGCTGTCAGTGGGACAAAGGAGATTTTTTTTTAATAGAAAGAGATATTACAGCCAAATCTTGGTTTTTGTAGCTAGAGTAACACAGGACCTGGGGAAAGAGCAGAGATGGTGCCCTCATTCTGGACAGAGTCTGCTGTTTTGGAGGGTTGTCTATTGGCAAGCTGCTGGGACCTTAAGTCTTCCTACACATTAGAAGAATTATTCAAGACAAAATTGTCTATGTTCTCATCTTAACTATGCATGACAGGTAATGGGAGAGAGAAGATGGAGACAATTAGAGAGCGAGGAAAAAAAAGAGAGGGGAACAAGGTGGGGAAACCTTAACACAGAAAAGGACTTTAGGGAAAACTTGAGAGTATGAACAAAGATTTTGGAGGGGAGAACTGAGAGAGAACGAAGAACCACAGGTGAGAAAAAAGCACTTGTCCCCACTGCAGATCCCTCATAGACGGGGGCTGCAGCCCCCAAAAGTTTGGGAGCCATTATTCTGGTATGAGTTAAGCAAATGCCTTCTTGCTAAATGACTTAGTCTATATGCTGGCTGCCTCCTGTTAGGAGCACACTAGGGTGGTCAGGAGATAAGCTCCATTCTTTAGTACTTGTTCTTTCTCCTCAGTGGCAGCTGCCACAAGGCAACCATAGTTTGGCCCATCACATTTAATCCAAGAGATAGCTTGGGTGATTAACATACTTTACTTTCATTGCAGCAGCCGTAGGCTTAGTAACTGAAGGCGTAAGAGTTGAAGGCAACTGTTCCACATGCAAGGGATTTATTATGTTCAGCTACTGCAGGGGTTAGTGAGTGTCACAGGAGAATTATCCGTACATTGGTGGCATCATTGCTTCTTCCAGCAGAGATTCGCTTTGGTTTCTTTTTCAAGTGCAGTTGTTGTTCCTGCATGATAACATGGTGCTAATTCCCCAGTATTGTCTCTTGGCAAGCCACTGGGTCCTTAGGCCTCATATTCTGCCATCTCTCTCTACCCTGCAGTGCCCGAAGAACAGCTGCACAGTGTCGATGAGTATGACCTCAATGTCGTGAGACTCTGCTTTCAGGTGTTCCTCCCTGATGAACATGGCAATTGCGCGTTACCACTTCCTCCCGTTGTCTCCAACCCTATTTATGATAACCGTGAGTATCCCACTGGGACAGGTGCACTTCTAAGTGATAACTTTTCCCTTGTATTTGAAGTGACAGATGTCAGGCCACCTTCCCAGCCATTTGCCTCTCAACTTTCTGGCTCCATTGCACTATTCAATGCAAAGACAGGGCCAAAGCTCCAAGCATTGACTTTGGATCCTAGTGCTTAGAACCAAAGCCAGAATATGGAGTGTAGATTGTGTTTATGCCTGTCAGATAGCAATGGGTGTAACAAAGGTGTGAGTGGTGTGTTGACATTAGATAGCAGGAGGTGCAGTATCTTTCTCAGACATAATACTCATCAGATCCTTTCACAGCCCTTGGTCACATACTGTAGCAGTAACAATAAACCTAGTTTTCAATAGGCAAAGTGTTTAAAATACTTTGTCGTGATCAAGTTGGCTGAGAGAGGGTCCAGCTTGGATTTAGCTGCCATAAAACACCATCTGTAAACAAGGATCTGATCCAAAGCCTATTTAAATAATTGGGGAATCTTTCTGTTGACTTCTTTGTGCTTTGGATCAGGTCCTGTGGGTGAAATTCACTCCTGCAGAGAGCTAGCACAAAGCTCTAAATTACTGATGTCCCGTCAAGCCTTATTTTGGAGGCCTGGGCTTCTGAGCTGGTGTAAGTTGGCGTTGCTTCTCTGCTTTCTGTGGAGCTGTGGCAGTTTAGAGTAGCTCCAAGTCTGGCCCCCTATGTGGTATATAGATCTTATGCTGACTTACTGCCCAGTATGGAATTTTATTGCTTGTTTTGAAAGGGTTAGCTTTTTCAGAGCCTTTTCAAATAACTTCACTACACGGTATCTGGGTCATCTGAAAAACGAATGTGAAATTTGAGATGTAAATATTTATATTCTGCCTTTGCAGATTAGCCTTTAATAATTGTTGCAGAATTTTCCGATGATTTTTGTCATCTTTCTGTAAGACATTTCTTGCAAAGTTTTGTAGATCATGAGACTGATTATTTTAGCAGAAACCACTGATTTTTGTTTAAAAAGGGCATTTGAGCAGTTGATGAGAGTTGTGCTATGAATTGACTAAACCACCATGGAAGTATTTAGTTTTAACCAGTGTTTTTGTTATTTTTACCTGTTCTTAAAACATGTTTTTAAAACATGCTACAAATCTCATTATTTTTACCAGTCAAAATGCTACACACTATTTTATTTAGGCACTGTATAGCAGAGCTGGTGCTTCGCCTTAGGTGAAGTTGAGATAAAATTAACAGAGCTAAAAGCAATGTGTCTTAGCTACCATTTAGAAATATGCTAGATCATAACTGCAGGTGCCTTTAAATTGACGTCAGTCTCTGCTAAACTGCAGAAATGACAGCTTGCTACATCTTTTGAGGAAACTCAGCTTTCTTTGGTTTTAGCAGGGTGTGTGTGGGTGATTTTTTTTTTTTTTTTGTACTATGGGGGTTTGGGACCTCCGTTCTAGCTTAGCAGTAGTGTACATAAAACATGATGCATAACTTCAACCACAAGTCAGTAGAATTGCTGTGACATCTCGTTTTGGGAAAGGTAGCTTCAAATCTGCATTCCTCAAAAAAGTGAATTTTTGTTGACCTTTTCAAACTAATTCTGCCATGCAGAATTCATAAAGGTCAGATTATGACCTTGAATAAAAGATTTGTGTGATGTGTATGCATGCTGTCTCCTAGATTATTATAAAATGACCAGAATTATGCAGTTGAATACATGCAATAAACCGCTACCTTGTTCAAATAACACAAATTTTCCTACTATTGAACAGTGCTGGCTCTCAGTATAGTCTAATGGTTTATAGTCTGAGAAGATGTGAATAAAGTTTATATTTATTGCCAGTGACTTTGGGATACCTACATTACCCAGAGCTTTCGCAGGTCTACTCAAATGAGCAGCAATACAAATATTCATAGCTCTCTTTTCATTGATTGCCCACAGGCATTCAGTCTAATAATTTGTCTTCACTTTTTGTCATTTCTAGTCTCCCTTAACTTTTTCATTTTGAAATGTATGAGTTTAGTGTGGAAACAAATGGTTGTAGATGGAGCAAAATGCTGTTCAGATGGCACTCTGTAGTTGAGATGGCTTCCTTTTTCAGTTACTTATAGTTTTTTGCCAAACTTTAGTTGTTTAGACTCAAATTTCCCATGTTAGGTGTCTGCCACAGGCCGAAACTTTTGGAAAGTTTCTGCTAAAATAGTTAGCCATATTTGAGAATGAGATCAGGGAAAAATATTTGTGTGTGTTCATTAAAGAGACATTCTTATAACCATTTCATTGAGAGCTGGGTAGGAGAGTAAAAATAGGTAAAACCCTGTGGATACAAAATTTGTATCTGTATCTGCATTAGGGATATAAAATCCTGATCAATCAGTTAAGTGATTAAATGTTAGGTTAAACGAATGTTTAAATGGTTAACTGACTAGCGAGATCCCTGACCCCAGGGCTGGGGCTGCTGCCACCGCTGACAGCAGGAGGCTCCTGACCCTTGCCCCAGGAGGCTGCCACTGGCTCCCACCCCCACACTGGGGCAGCTCTCTGCCTGTGGCAGCCCATGGGCAGGGGGCTACTCCAGGGCACCAGTTAACCGGTACCCAGTAAACCTCACCCAGTAGCCAGTTTACCAGTTACCTGTTCACATCCTGTGTTTGCATCCATATTAGTATCTGCAAAAATGAGTCATGGATAACCGCGTTGACATTTGTAGAGGCAGATGCCCGTAGATGTGTGGATATCTGCAAATTTGTAGGGTTCTAGGTACAAAATTTGTATCCACGTCCAAATCTACAAAAATGAGCCATGGATATCTTTGCAGGGCTCTAAATATAGGGGTGGAAAGGTCTGTAGCCACTAGAGAAGCTTCTCTGTGAAACCTGGAATTAAACTCATAATCCTTGAGTCTTCACATTCCTTTGCTGTCCGCAAATAGTTGTGAAACTGATTGGCAAAGTGAGTCTTCACTCCCTCCAGTGACTGGACCAAATAGAAAATAGGTTACTCTTAGCTCAAGTGGAAGTGGTCTGTACTGTACAGCTGAACAACCCAACCCAGTGTTTGGGGGTCAGCATCAGTATTAGTTCCACATGATAGAATTTGCATTTTGAAAAATTTGTTTTCTGGGATATAATTTCCTACATTGAAAGGACATCAAGTTTGCAAAATCAAGCATTCAGAAGTTAAGCAATGCCAGGATTAAAGTTGGCCATACAAATTTCAGTTTGTCCTCCTTATGTGTATGCATTATGATAGAGTTCTTAATTACATGATCACATACTTCTTTTGTCCCAGGACCCCTGATTCAGTGAGTGATAGAGCTAAAAACAACCTGTCTTGGCTTAGTGACTGAATCAGGGTCGTGTAGCTTCTTTGTAGAAAACCTTCCTCATTTGGGGAAAGTGTGATGCAAATGAGCTCAGGAACTGCAGGAATAAGAAAGCATGGTCTCATGGTAAAAGCAGCTGAATGCTGCCCTGGAGGATTGGTGTCTGCTGCCGAGTTCCTGTATGACACAGTGCAAGTCACGTAAACCAGAATTTTCACGTGGTGGCTACTATGTGTTCCTCATTTTCTGAATACCCAATCTGACACACCTGGGTCTGATTTGCAGAAGTGCTGAGCACTCTCAGCTACAGCTAGGGTTAATGGGAGCTGTGCTCTGAGAATAGAAAGTGCTACATAATACCAAATTCTCTGATCAGTCTCAATCTCTGAGGCATCTCAAATTGGGCACCCAGAATTACTAGGTATCTTAGTTTGGGGATAGTAAAAATTACACCTCAGGGCTGTTGTGTTTCATTAATATTAATAAAGCACTACAGTTATTATGCTGAGAGAGTCATGAGGAAATTAATACTGCTATACTATTGTGTAGAGAAGGGTTTGAATAGCTGCACGTGCAGTAAGGCATGTGGTCACACATTGAATAATGATGAGACAAAATATTGCAGTGTTCTCATTCACTAAACAGTCTGTTCTGTACAGTGAATGAGTCAGGGGAAAAACAGCATGTGATCATATACATGAAGATTGTATCATAATGCATATGCACAGAGGGATGAATTTTGGTTGTGCACACAGCCTAAACTCTGAGATTTCTTAACTTTCAGCTGCTTCAGATTGCAACTTTAATGGGTTTTTTTAATTTTTAGGTCTCCAGCATAGCCATGCTACTCAAGGCTAAGCAGTTATATTATCTTAATTGTATTGGTTTATTTTGTAACTACAAACAGCGAGGCTCCCAAAGGTAATCTTGCAGAGGGCAGTTTTTGATACACTACCTCTGTGAGCACTGAAAACATGCCAGAGGCCTTCTGTGTCAGCATATCTTTAGTTAAGATGCCAAGCTCAGTAGAAATTACAAAGTGGTTGTCCTTGGGGCCAAATCTGGCCCTTTGTATAGAACTACAGATGATATATGCAATATTATCAAGCTTTTCAGAATTTTCCATATTTAAGTACCTAAATGAGGCCTGATCCAGCAAAGCCTGTAACCCATGCATAAATTTAAGCATGTGTACAGTTCATTTGAGTTTACTGGGATTGTTCACATGCTTAGTTAAGTGCATGCTTAAAGGTGTGTTGTTGGACTTGGGCCTGAGTGGCCAGATTTCAGAAGACTGAACACCCAGAAATTCCTATAGACTGTAGTGGAGGCTGTGGGTGCTTTTTTGAAATCTGGCTACATATTTAGATGCTAAATTCAAATTTAGGAGTTTAACTTTAGGCTTCTATTTTTTAAAATCTTGGCTACTGCCTCCAAATGTTAAAATAAAACCCCCTGTTATTTCATAAAAATACTAAATAGCCATTTCCATAGGGGTAGTGCCCAGCGACTCCAATCCTGTTTGGTTCCACATTGAGTAAATGCCATGTAAGCATACAGGAAGATTCATTGACTCATGCCTCACCCTCATTTGTCCATCTCTTTTAGGTCAAAGGTCAGTCAGTAAAAGTATAACCTTCTGTGCTGAGGCGAGGGACCGAGGGAAGGGGAGGGTATCACTTTCTCAAATTGCAACAACTCCCAAGTGACGTGTAAGGGTCATTGACCAAACCTTTGCATCCAAGCTCTGTGGGTCAGAGCTACTGTAATGCTAAGTAACAACACCGAGCTAAGTAGTAAAATATTTGTAATACTAATATGAGCTGGCTTTGGAAATAAATATGGAAGATGAGTGGTTAAGACTAGAGCCCTGAAAATCCACAGATATCCACTTTATATCCACAGGTACCCACATCTGCAGATGAGGATGCAGATATCTGCAACTCCTTTTTACAAATGTGGATACAAATTTTGTGTCTAGAACCCTGCACATTTGCGGATATCCACTTTATATTCATGGGTATCTGCATCTGTAGATGCGGATATCTGTGGCTCATTTTTGGGGATAGAGCTGCGGATACAACGTTTTTTATCTGCTCAGGGCTCTAGTTAGGAGTTGGGCATTTAAATAATAACGCTGCTAAGACAGGAAAAGGCTACATACCCAGAACTTTCATCATCTACTTACTGATTTATTCTTGGTCTAGGCACATAGGAACATGCTTCAAATTACCTTCCGATTGAGTGCATTCTGAATGTTGGGTGCATCCTGGGTCTCTGCACTATTTATTGCCTTGTTAGGCCAAACAGGATGGAGAATTTCATTTCAATGTATGTGCACCAGAATTTCTCCTCTGCACTTTCATTCTATGGCAGCCACTAATACTTTGAGCCTTATGTAGTGGAGAGAGCAAGATGGAGCCCTTTCAGTACAGGCTTTGATACCTGCACCATTTCAGAAAAGCTTTCAAATTCACCCCTGCCATCCACATCCCTTCGTTTAGAACACTTCTGTAATACCTGCCCATCGGTCATCCCAAGGCACTTTCATAAAGTCTCTTTTTAATAGCCAACATGGTCAGGAAAGCAGCCCCAAATTCTGAGTGTTCCTAACCTCAACTAGCAGAAGCTGGAACTGGATGACAGGGAGTAGATCACTCACTAAATTGCCAGCTCTGTTTATTCCCAATGACATAATTGGCATTGGCCACTGGTAGAAGACCCGATACTGAACTAGATGGACCCAGCACGGATGTTCTTAAGTTCTTATGTCTTATAGCTTTTTCCTGTTTATTTCTAGGCGCTCCCAACACAGCAGAATTGAGAATCTGTCGCGTGAACAAGAACTGTGGAAGCGTAAAAGGAGGAGATGAAATATTTCTACTGTGTGACAAGGTTCAAAAAGGTAATTGATTAATTTATCTCCCTCTTTCCAACATACATTACAAATGTATTCAGCTGCCGAGGCCAATGTTATCAAATGTGGGGGTGTAAAGTTAGATTTCTGAATCTTCACTTAAACTCCTAAATAAGGGGCCTGATTTTCAGAGGTCCTGAGTATCCTCTACTCCCGTTGAACTCAGTAAGTACTCAGTACCACTGAAAATCAGGCCACTTACTTAGGAGCCTACATAAGGACTTAAATGGCCAACTTTAGGCCTGCAAGTTTGAAAATGTTGGCCACAGACTTCAGTTTTTCTCTCTGTACTAATGGGTACCTTCTGTTTCTGGTGAATTAGATGATATAGAAGTCAGATTTGTCTTGAATGACTGGGAAGCCAAAGGTAGTTTCTCACAAGCTGATGTACATCGTCAAGTAGCAATTGTATTCAAAACTCCACCATTTTACAAAGACATCACTGAACCAGTTACAGTAAAGATGCAGTTGCGAAGACCCTCTGACCAGGAAGTCAGTGAGCCAATGGATTTCAGATATCTACCAGATGAAAAAGGTATAGTTCCTACTAGTAGAATTCTTAAGAGCATATTACACTGTATTTTTACATGGGAGAACAACTTGGAATCATTACTAACAGCACTCCAATATTGTCCTTCAGAATAATATTAAGATCGATGGGCTTTGATTTTTGTATCAGCTCTTTAGATCACAATTCTATTAGGGATGTGCCTTCTTCCCCTCCCCCCCACTTTGCTGCCTCTATCAGAAAGAGGCAGTGGGGAAAAAGGGGGAAAAGAGGAAGGAGTACTTCAAAGCAGCAGCGCCGCATAGAGCCTGGAGTCAGCAGGAGAGTCCCCAGCTGACCCTGAGGTCCACACGGTGCTTTTGCCCTTGAAGTGTAGCAACAGCCTTAGGGTTTCTGCTACACTTCAAAGGCAGAGGCGCCTTATTGATTAATCGAATAGTCAATGCAAAATGTATCTATTATTGGATTAGTAAATTACTCGCAATTTAACATCCCTAATTTCTATGAGAACTACATTTGGGAAGATCCTTTCCACTATAACCAAAAGACATTAATCAATTCTGGAAACTTTCTTCACAAAACACGGTGGAGAGCCTCCTAATCAGCAATACTCTTCTTTCCCATGTAGATCCTTATGGTAACAAAGCAAAAAGGCAAAGACAAGTATCAGCATTGACTTTTCAAAAGCTCATGCAGGAATATGGTAAGGAAAACATATGGCCGTTGGTAGTTTTCCTCCATGTTAATTTTTTTAAAAGTTTGGGAAACGATTTTTTTTTTTAAAGAACAGTCCTGTTCTTAAATAATAAGATTAATGGCCTTTCCCATCACAGGTCCCAATGCATCCGAGAGGCCTAAAGCTGCTCCATTCCGGTCTATCACTGGCGAAGGGAGGATAATTAAGAAAGGTAGATTTATCTGTACATGTTAGTCCAGCATCAGTTTGAAACAAATGACAACTCTTTCTGACTTGCAGCATCCATTTTTTAATGCAGAGAGTATGATGAGGGTCCTAAGCTATTCCAAATACTGGGGGCTAGTTTTCAGTGGCCAGAGGCACTGGTGCGGTGACATTTGCATGCACAATTACCACATATGCATATCCAGAGAAATCAAGAAGGCCCTTTCACTTTCTGGGTCATGCACACAGTGTTGCAATAACTTGACACATACATGTAGTGCACTACTGGGAACACACTTGGTTCTATATCCATCAGGACACTAAACTTTAAGGTAGTTTTACCTGAAGACACTTATGTGCATCTGCTGTTCCCCTCCAGTTCATTCCTGCATTCCATAAGGGCTGCAGTAAATTCTAACTCTCCACCCTCATGAGGTGTATGCCACACTTTCTCCATCCTAAAAATGCTGCTGTAGGCCTATCCCTCAGCAATGTGAATCTCTCCAAAACACAGAGTTGGGGAAGAGTTACGGAGTCCTTTTCCCTCCCAACAAGAGCACTGGCCCCAGCTGGGGTTCAGAAGCCTGTGGGGACTGGGCAAAATGAGCTTTGGCTCCTGAGCTCCAGCCAACCTACAAGGTCAAAGCTGCATCTAGACAGCTGTGTTAGAGCACTAGCATGAGCCTCACTATCACCAGTCTGTGGATACAGCTGGATGCTTGCTCCCAGATGCAGAGCACACATGCCCTGAGACACAGCAAGTACATTTTATACAACCACAAAGCCCTCCATATTTTTATTGTAAGCATCTCTAGCTTCCATGTTTCAAGTAAAGAATGGTGATGTGTACAGCCAGTCCAACTGCAGGTTGGACAGTGAGGGTTCATACTGCAAGATGCTGAGCATTGTGGCCTGATCCAGCACAGCAAGCCCATGAATCATCTCCTGGATATCAGTGGGATTGTACATATGCTTAAAATTAAGCCTGAGCATTGTGCTTTTGCAGTATTACTCTGGCAGGCTTGACCATTTGAACTGCCTGTCATGTCTTTCCTTCTTGTCATTTCCATGCATTAATTAAGAACTCATTTCTTTTCACAGAACCAACTATATTTTCTCAAACTGCACCGATTATGCCTCTGCAGAGAACTCCTGTAAGCACCAGTCAAATTCAGTCTTACTATTCCTCACCCACATGCAATTCAAATCCAAACCCACATCTGTCTACAAATGTGCAGGCCATGGGACAGGTTAAGCATGATGAAGATCTTACTTCATGTTGGCATTCCCTGTGTTCCCCTTCATCAGGCAACACAGTTAATACACACCCACCAAACAGTTTTGTGATGGATGCTCTTCACCCTAACCCACAAAACAACAGTTCTCTTTCAGCTCTTCATGATAACGTTCTGAACTGGACTGATCAGAAGGAAATAGACTTCTATAGAAATTTCACCAGCACAAATGGGTTAGGAACATCATCGATGTCACAGCAAGACATGCAGAATGTCTCTGATAGCAGCATTATGCATCAGGTTCACACCATAAGCGTCACAGCTCCCTGCATAGATAACATGGAGACTGATGAAATAGGATGCATGAGCCTGAATGTAGAAAAGGCATCATTTAATCAAGTTTTAAATCCAAGTGATCACAGGAGGCAAATCCATCAAGTACCTTCTAACAGTACATCTTTAGCAGCTTCTTGTAGCTCATCTTTTAGTTCACAGTCCAATGCATTTCATTCAGCAGGTTTTGGTTTCTTAGACCCTCAAACTGTGAATGAATCAAGCTCACCCAGCAATCTTATTCAGAATAATCAAAATAGTTCTTCCAATAGCCAGTACTATACAGATGGGACCGAAGGTGAAGAGTATTTTAGCACCTTTGGAGTCCCTTTGGAAGCTTTATTGCAGAATTTCAACCAGTGAGTTTGTTTTGCTGTCAGTCTGAAAAACAGTATCCAAGTTTCTCTAATGGCCAAAGACGGACAACAAACAATTGATATGCAATGGAATACTGGTATTCACAGTTACTGCCATGGAAGCTTAACTTTTCCTCTCAGAATGTTCCTTAGAGCAATCTACTATGCACAATTTCATTCTATAAATTCGGGTGGCTGATCAAGGGTTGGATGCCACATTAAAGGCAGTGTTAGGGAATAGAGTTTGGGAATTTTGTACACCAAAACAATCTCATTTTTTTACATTGTTGGAAATGGGTAGAGAAGCAATTGCTAAGCGCTAAAGACCTCCTGCTCTCAGTGGAAACTCACCCATGGAAAACTGGTATCTTCAGAGCAGCCAAGATTATATAATTCAAATAGTTGGAAACAAAAACAAACAGTTGTTTCTCCTTACAGAACTAGGAATTGTCCTACAGGTACTCAGCAATGGTCTATGTAATTTTCTTAATATTTTATTTTTACCCAATCTTTTTGGGTAAGCGCTATCTCAACATTTTTTTATATATATATATGTATGTATGTATGTACATTTTTTATTGGTAAACTTAGCTTATGCACTGACCTTTTTCACATTTATATGTTTATTCCATTTGCTTGGAAAGCAAATTTATTCTTAAAGGGTAATGACTATGTCATTGTTAGGTCTATTTAAAAATATTACAATTTTCGCTGGAGTTCTTAAATAGTGCAGCTATGGCGTGACATGAATTATTGAACAAAGGAGAAAACCATTTTGCACTCGTCTCAGAGTAGTTTTTTGTGTTTTTTTTTTACTATAAAGTACTGGATGCTTTATGAATGGTAGCATGGTTTTGGTACTGTAAGGAATACACTTTGGGGGGTTATATGTGTTTATTATGAATTACATAAAATAGGTCAGATGACTTTGGGTTGTCAAGAAGCTGGCTTTCCAAACTAAAACAATTGAGAATCTCCTTGCATGGAAGAATTCTGGCTGACACAAAGCTACCACAGCAACCTCTATACTTTCTACTTTTGCTTCAGGAATCATGGGGGGAGGGAGAATGTGTGGCCAAAGCATATTTTGCACTGGCCTTGCAGAGGTGTTCCACTCAGTGCTAATTAGGAACCCCATCTACACCCCCAAATCAGGGGCTATGCTTTACCCCCTTAGCTCCATGGGTTATCAAGCATAACTCAGGCACATGTAAGGATCTAGCCCATAATGTTCATATTTCTGTATGTTGTTAGGTTTTGAGATTTTGTTTTCATCCAAAAAAAGTTCTCTAATCTGATTCATTCACTTTTTTTTAAGCTATTCAGTCTTATTGACTGGCAAAGACATCACTAAACTTTTAAAAACTCGTATGAGTCAATATTGCCATCTGGCAGCTTAATTGACTGGAGAACAGATCTCGTTAACTCCCAGATGCAATAATAAATCTCATTCAGAACAATAATTTAAAGGGTATGGATCCCTTCAAAATGTTTTAGGTGTCCCACAAACGAAGAAAGGTTGAAAACCACTGGCATAGGTGACTATGCGCCTTCAATCGTAATGCTCAGTACAGGGCAAGATTGTGTATGAATTTCTGCAGATGTTTTTGAATTGTATTATATATACACACTTGAAGTTGGACAGGTGCTTCCTATAAATCTAACATGAAAGGCGCTGCACTGTACAAGTCTACAGCATTTTTTTAAATAGTTTTAAAATAAGTCAAGGGACCAAGCAACATTTTTCATGTTATTTATAAGCAAACAGAGCCTGACTGAGGAAACAAACATAGAGCTCAGAATAAAGCTTGAAATGTCTGTTCAATTTCTTTAAAGTTCTCAGTTCACTTACTGTTTTAAATGTCAACATTCTAGAAATTTTTTTACTTTAAAAATTATTGGGTACATTTTGTTGTATTCTGTATAATTAAATATTTTAATTCACCTCTGTTTTCTTTTTTGGCTCCAAGCTGGTTTGTGTTTATACTTTATTCCCATAGACAATTCAAGAACATTAGGGGACATAAAGATCTGATCTTAACACTTACTTAGCCCTTCCAGCCACTTGACTTAAATGAAGCTATTCCTGCCTGTAAGGAAGGATGACTCCTGGCAGGCCCCGAAAGCTTAAATCAGCTTGAAAGAAACCGCTTTTGTTCATATTAGGAAATTTGTTTTTAAGGCATTTCCCACTGTTGTTGATTGTTGGCAAGTGGTAAACCTAAAGCAATTTATACTCTTAGCATCTCTACATAGTTTTTGCGCTGACTGGCTAAATGGATAGAAAAACAGATTTATTAAAATCTGTGCATCCTCTCCCTGCCCAGTGTGGAGGCACTGGTGTAAAGATGTTTGTTGGTATAGCTATAAGAATGAATACCTTAACTAACTCTACCAATGTAATTAGATCAGCACAAAATCTCTGTGTAGACAAGGCCAAAGGCCTATTTTTTGGCAGGGGCTCAGTTACTGAGTACCCTACTTGACACCTTGAAGAAGCCTGAGTTTTGGAGGGCAGCTGTTGTTTGAAGTGTAAGGACCAGGGGACATTTTTATTACAGTACAGGTTGAAACTATCTAGTCCAGCACCCTTGAGACCTGATGGATGCCAAACCAGAGAATTTGCAGAACCACGGGCAGTCAATATTGTCTAGCAGCATTACCAACACTTCCTCTGCTTACTAGACTCTCAGGAGATATTTAGAGGTAAATTAGAGGTAAATAACAGCATAGAACCCTGAGAGCCAGGAATGGTGGCTGTAAACAAACTTTATGGGACCATGGAAGACTTGGCCACACCCATGATTAGTGGACATCTATCTGGTTAACTAAAATCATGCTGGACCAGTGAGGTTCAAGCTGTAGTGAATAGCCACATATTACACACCCTTGTTATTTTAACATATCTTTTCCTTCTGCATTATGTGAGTTGATCCTGCAACACCTTGTGTTGTTGAATTAAACGTAACAGTACTCAAGTGTCAGGACGTTCAGAATAGGGCTTAATATGAATTTGCTTACTGGGTACCCTACTTCCTATAATCTTTGAGGGACACTAGTACCTCACTTTAGACTAACAGAATAAAAAAACCTATTTTCCATCTAGCATCGAGCCAGTTCTAAACAGTTCTGTTTTTGTTGAGAAAGGTAAGTTTAGGACAGACGAGGGAGTGAATAATTTTAGTGATGCCTAAAGTTCATTGTTAGTCAATGTTAACTCCTTATACACAGTAACTTGTCTGGGGCTGAAAAGTTGTAATGTATGAAACATCTTTTGTTTCTATCCTTGCATAGTTCCATTCAGTATGTTACATTTCTGATCGGATAAGTTTCTTTATTCATATAAGCCATCACATTAATTCACTAATGCTATTTGAAAGAGTAAAGTTATGTAGGTTTAAAAAAAATAAAACAAAAGTATTAATTTTGGTTCCAGTTCTGCAATGTAAATTACAAACAGACAGGCTGAAAGAGAGAAGGGTTTATTTTCTTGTTAAACTTATGGATTTTAACAGCGCAAAACAAATTACATTAGCTTTTTAGCATTTTGTGTTTTCTGTGATTGCTTTCACTACATAGCCACTGAACATCATATGATGGTTGCATAGATGGGCATCTTACTATGAATATTCCATACAAGCACCTCAGAGCTCACTTGACGTTAGCAGAGCTACAGCCACTGAGACCTGGCTCTACAGTGGAAGCTGACAAAACGCAGCTTGTCATGCTGAAATCTATGCAGTCCACCCCTCCTGCCTCGTCACCACCACATAAATAATAGTACTGACTGGAGAAACCCTGAGTGAGTCAGAAATATACCAGGCAATGTCTATGCTATGTGACAAAGTCAAATTAAGTTACGCAATTTCAGCTACATTAATTGTGTAACTGAAGTTAAAGTGCCTTAACTCGACTTTTGATGCTGTCCATGCTGCAGGAAGTCAAAGGAAGAACACTTTCCCTTCAACTTCCCTTACTCTGCAGGAAAGCAGGACTACTGACATCGACTGGAGTGCCCTTCTCAGTTCGAATTAGCTGTCTTAACTAGACTTACTAATTTGAACCCTGGAAGATCAACAGTGGCAGCTTCGATCTTCTCTGCAGTGTAGACGTACCCGCAGAAACAGCCTCTTCACTAATTCCAAATTCCTTCAATTTCTTCCTGCATCTGTATCATTCATTTCTCTAGGCTTCATAGGAGCAGAAACAGTTCTATGGAGGCACTCACATGGAAGTCTAGATTTTTATCAAATATAGCTAGACATATTTTAAGAGAGTCCTGATCATTTCTGATTAAATGAGAACAACATGAGGCCATTTTACACTTACATATTAAAGTATGGACTACTTAATTTATACACAGGTTTCCATATTCTTCTATATATTTTAGCTGCAGCTACAGTGGCAAAGTTGGGCATTGTGATTCATCACTGGAAGCGCAGACAGGCCTCAAATGTTTTTGCTGACAAAAACTGACAGAAAATTAGCTATACTACAGACTTACCATTCCAATACCTACTGCTGGCCTAGAGCCACATGGCTAGTGAATTACTTGTCTTTCTTTAGATTACACCTTTTATATACTTGATGTTACAATTCTGTCATGACTTAGAACTTTCTATTTGTCTTGCTCTTTTTGCATAGGAAGTAGGACATGGTGTAAACCATGCAAAATGCAACATAAACATGTTTCCACTTTTACAATTCTTTCCTAATGGAACTTGGACCTGCCTGTATTATACTAAATAAGAAGCACAATGAAATGAAATTAAACCAATTCAATTAAAACTGTTTTTGTGATGGGAAGTTGAGTTTTCAAATAGATTCGCTTTTCCAACAAAAAAAAAATTGCCTGCTTTTAGTAGAAATTTCCAACTTTTGTCAAGAAAACCTTCAAATATTTCTACTCGGTAATGCCACTATGGTACATTAAAGAACTGGGTGCCTTATGCCCCCACTCTCCTGCATGTAGTGGGTTCCCCAGCCAGACTGTGTCTCTCATGCTGCACGTGGGAGCTCAGGAAGAAGACAGACATGGGTGATGTACACTGGACACTGACTCTGAAGAGAATAGGAATATGACGTACCTGAGCTACAAATCCCATAAGGCATCACCTACATTTCTCACCTGCATTTTTTGTGTTTAAAGTTTTCAGTTTTCCCCACCCCCCAAATAGTCAAAACTCCAACCAGCACTAGTACATATATTGGAACAATATTGGAGGCCAGATTCAGCTGTTCCTACTCATGCTGAACAGTATTTCACATTTGGAGCACCCCATTGATTTCAGAATTCAATATTAGCAATCTACAACTGATTGCTTAGGATCTAATCCTGACAATTATTTACATGAATAGTCTTTGGCATACTTACAATCAGGCTCTTAGACAGCTGATCTGGGAAGTTTTACAAATATCTAGATAAGAAAATTATGCTTATGGTATCGGATACAAACATGCTTTGACTTTTTTTTGGTTGGGAACAAAATTAGATGACATATGGTATGTGTGGTTTGATGGAGGGGAACTTCTCTTTTCATTCAAAGGGTTTCAAACAGTATTCAGGAAAGCATATTTTGTATATCTTGCAAAGATCAGGATTTGGACATCTTGCTAAATAATTGTTTTAAAAAGAAAACATTTACTGCTCTTAATATATCGGCCTGTCAAAGACCCCTTTGCACAGGGCTGTAATTTATTTACAATAAGGCTGTAAATTAATTGATCAAGCATCAACTGATCCTGAGTTTTTCAGCCAATTAAAAAAAACCCTGACAGATCAACATGATCCAAATATCAATGAAAATATTTTGCAGGGGATAAACAAGTTATCATACAGTACACAGTTCAATCCATTGTCAGCTTCTGATAACAGTCGAGTCACTCTTGTTCTTCCCAACTTGAAGGACTCTAATCATTCAGGCTTGGAGGCCAATCAACATCCACAGACTAAAAGAGAGAGGGATAGAGTGGAAAATAAAATCACAAGATCAGGAGAGCTGGTGTTTCAGATTTGCCTTAAGCACTTATTGTGCATGAACAAAAGAGTAATTTTAGTACCAGAAAGGCACAAATTCTCAAAAAGATGTGGCAAA